CAGATTATAAGGTATGACCTGCCTTTTTTTTTTTACAATTTAGGTACAGCTCTCACACAATATGTCTTTCTCCAATCCTTGACTGGCCTCAGGCAGCAGCACGATGTATGTAAAATTAAAAATAATTGATGTGACTTTGAATGAAACCAACTAATTTGGAAATTTGCATTTTGAAAAATGAGTCTTAGGGGAGCCAGTCTGTTCCATCACAGTGAACTATCACAGCAGTAGCAAAACCCTCATTTTAGGTAATTAGGAGAAAATACCCTGTGTATTGTTGGGTATCATAAATATTTGTGGAGATCTTTTTCTTTAATCTTACACTGTGTGTGTTGTCTTTGCAACAATACTTTTTGCTATGGTAACAACTCCTTTATTGGAATCCAGAGCATGAACTTGTAATGCTGCATTGACCCTGTTACTCTTGAGACCAATTAACTGTAGGAAGATTCGTTTTGGCCAAACTTTCAAGGAGGAAACAAAGTGTAAAAATGTGTATTAATTGGAAAAAAAAGCTTACTTCTAAGCAATATTTCCCATTTTTACTGCCATTGTCCTTTCATCAGAACCTTAGGTTGGAAGACATTTGCCGTTTTTTTTGTCAAAGGGTGGGGAATGCTACAGTTCTCCCACTGTTTTATTCTCATAATTGTCCACATCAGAAAGCAAATGGTTTCTTGAGTCAAATGCACAAGAGCTTGATATTCCTGTGCCCCCTCCCATTCTTCCAGCTGAGGATCAGCATCAGCTGTGGCTTTGTGCAGAGAGGCACAGGGAGGGATCAAGACTGATTTAGCATCTCCTTCAGCTGATATGAATGTGCAATTGTAAGTGGGAACTCCAGGGTCCATCAGCACACGTAGGAGCCTGGAATTTAGGTTGTGTTTTGATGTATTACACCTCTCAGCTCTCTGCTGGGTAATAAACCTGCAAGCCAAGAAAAGCCAGAAGTGAGAACTTTGTCTGGAGGTACCTTAGGGCTTCCCTGGAGGTCCTTCAGACAGTGAATCATCAATGCTGAAATGCTTGCAGCTGAATTCCCAGCTCAGGCTCAGCTCCAGAAAGAAGCAAACTGCAGGTAAATTGGGCAGATGAACTGTCTGCTCAGGGTGCCTGGTACTTGATGGACTTCTTCTAAAACTGGGATGACAGTCAGTGCTGAGTGCAGCAGTATCTGACTGGTCTTTATTCTGCTGGATGCCAAGGGCTTTTGGAGATTTCCAAATATCATCTTTTGTGTCTAAAGTCAAGGGGGGACACTGAGCAGTGACCAAGGAGAGCCAGCAGTGTCTGGGGCTCTTCATCTGGCACCAGGCTCAGAGATTGCTCTTTCCTGAGGCAGGATCTTGCATTTCACAAGGGCACTCAGCCCTCTGATGGTTTGGAACAGAAACTGTTGTGCCCCTCTAATACAGGTAAGGATTTCTTCTGATCTTTTTTTAGATGGGTTAAAGCAGATTTTAGGGTTTATAAATGAAATTCAATGCATTCTTTACCCTTATCTCTGGACCAGTAGTTACTAAACCCTTTTGTCCTTGTTCCACCTTTCCGATTCCATTTGTTTTTACTACATATTATAAATAATAATATAAATAATGCAGAAAGAGGCTAAAGCTGCAGGTTTTCATTCAGGCAAAGTCAATGGGTTCAGATCTCATTCCCAAAAGCCTTCCCACGGTTTTCCACAGGTTTGCAGTGAATACCTTGCTGGGATATTCACTCTCACAGAGTGAATGAACCAGAACTTCCCTTCTTCAGCTGCTGCAGCTCCTGCAGCTCAACCTTTCCAGGAAAGGTTCAAAGTCAGCACTTGGTCTCCAGAGGGACCAGGAATCAGTTCTGGTTTGAGAGAAGCTGTTGGTCACAGAGCCAGCGTTGGGTGAATGTGCAGCTGATCCTCCCACTGTACCTGTGGGCACTTGCCAAGGTTTGCTGGGTGTTTTAGTGCCCAGGAGAAGGAGGTTGCATTGACCAAATGAATCTTGCACTGATTAATGAAGTGATTGATTACTATGTAAGCTGACCTGAAGCAGCATTCCTGACAATACCACTGTAACGTCAGAGTGATCAGGATGGAACTGGACCATCCTTTGAGGGGAATGCCAGCCAGGGCTCAGGGACAAGTGACCCCTCACAGATCCAGAGATAGTCTTTCTGCTCCAGCCCCTTTGATCTCGGGGTCCTGGTGAGCGACAGCTTCCTTGAAGGAGACTTATCTACCTGTGGGAAAGGAACTATTGAAGGAATAATCTTTCATATCCACTCAAAGAAAGGAATTTCACAAATGCAAAGAAAAAAAACCAACCCAAAGTCTGTGTAAATGAACGTGTGCTAATGGGAACTGTCATCACGGGAATCTTGTGCAAGCAATTCCCGAACGGATACGAGATATCATGGATAGCCAAGGCTGTCCAGCTCTGGGAATAGAATAAAACATCCACAATGGAAAATGCATGTTTAATACCCTTGCAAGGAAAAGTTTCAACAACATCTATGGGAGAATGAGTATACCTCTTTTTTTTTGGAGATTCATGGGTAATCTGTAGGGCAGAAAACTTTAACTGAAAAGTTCCCACAGATGCCATATTAGAATATGTCAAAACACACAATGCAACAACTTTGGGTGAATGCTGGATTATAGGAATCCCACTTATTTCATAGCTAAAAAAAAAAAAAAGAGGAAGTTGGTGATCCACTAAGATTTATATTAGTCTTTCCCCTCTGGTAGGCCTGGTTTCCTTTCACTTGTTTATTTAGGTACAAAGCTATATCAGATACTTATGTGAACACTTCAGAGCCCTGTGCTGGGTATGGAACATGCACCAGAGCAACAGGGAACAAAGGCCAGTTAGTATTTAGGGAAGGGGTCAGGGTGGACAAGGACCTTTGGAAAGGTATTGAAGGATAAGAGGTCTGCAGTTTCATTCTTCAGCTCTTACTCACCTGAGTAATAAAAAGAGAGAGGCTTTTAAATGAGCCCCCAAACAGAAATGGCAGAAGATGTGCCATTTCTGTGCTCTGACGTCAGCTCTGCTGGAAGACCCCCCATGCTGGAAATGCTGGGCAGGTACTGAGGGGCAGGAGTGGGATGTGTTTGGGGAAGGTGGGAGTGCTTGGACTGTGTGGTGTTCCTTGACTAACCCATCCAGGGCAGTTGTGAGCTTGGCTGGAGCTTGGACAGGTGTGAGGATGTGTCCAGTTTGGGATGGATGGATGGATGGATGTGTCCAGTTTGGGATGGATGGATGGATGTGTCCAGTTTGGGATGGGTGGATGTGTCCAGGCTGAGATAAATGGCTACTTTTTTCACAATGCTGAATTTTAAAGCATCTTACATGTGAGTGTAAATTGGTGATTTCTTACAGTTTTGGTGTTTACACATTGCAGTTGCTGAAGAAAATGGGGCCAATTATACATATTTGGCATCCACAATACATTTCCTTAGTTCTCTATTTTTTTCTATCCTCATTTTATTTAATTATGAGATTTTTAACAATTGTGCTGTAATTACCTGATTCTATGCATTATGTAGAAGGATGTTGAGAGACATGTGATTATAAAACCCAGACTCTGTGTGCTGACATTTATGGCTTTCTCTCTCAGCACTTGCATGAATAGAAGCTAAATTTTCTCAAGCTAAAATGTAGCTGAAAGGTTTCTGGTAAAAAGCAATTTGCATTTTTGGACAACAAACAGAAAAAAGGGCAGATACAATTTTCCAACACCTGCTCTGGTTTTTAACTTCTTCCATTGAGTCTCTGTATTGTTCAGAGCTGGTTTTCTGCCTTTCACTGGAATGCCTAAAATTGGCTTCTGACAGAAATAAAATACTAGAATAATTGGATTCTGTCCTTTCTCATTATATCATTTTCTGTTTCCTTCAACATGCAATCCATAGAAGAGATGTTTCTAACGTTTCCTGAAAAAAGTATTTCAGCATAAGCTTTTTCCATCTGCTTTTGGAAAATCAGAATATTTTATAATTACGCAATCATTTGCTCAAGTTACTTGTTTTCTATTACAGCATTTTGTACCATTAGTGGTGACATCTAAGAAAGACTTAGGAAAAGTTAGAATTGAAGTTCACCTTTCTGCCTAAAAGCTGCTCACAGAATAAGATAACTGAATGGACTTGCTTTTTGTTCCGTAACTCTGGTTTAATGGATGAACTCTCCACTGGTTTCTCAAAACTGCCATTCCAGCTTGGAGCTGATACATTTGAAATAAATCAGAACTATTGGGTGAGAGATTTATAGAATCATATCCAAGTTTGGGCTGGAAGGGACCTTAAAACCCATCCAGTGCCACCCCCTGCCATGGGCAGGGACACCTTCCACTATCCCAGGGTGCTCCAACCTGGCCTTGGACACTTCCAGGGATGGGGCAGCCACAGCTTCTCTGGGCAACCTGTGCCAGGGCCTGCCCACCCTCCCAGGGAAGGATTTCTTCCTAATCTAAAGGTTGGCATGAGTAAGGGGCAGTTAAATCTAATAATCAACCAGTATGGTGATTGGAACCTGTTAGGATATTTGAGGCTGAGATACATTTGTGGGGGGATTCACTTGACCTAACCTTTTCACTTTTTAATTTCTATGATAGTTTGAAATCGGGAAGGAATGAAAAAATCCGCAGAGAAAAACAAAACAAAACAAAACAATCATCTAAATGGAGGAAAAAAGAGCGCAGGGAAGGGAGGGAGGGGAGCTCTGCCGTGCCTGTCCCCGCAGCGAGCGGGGACATCCAGCAGGGCGCACTGCGCCGACAGCGCTGATCCCGCACCGGCAGCTCCGGGAACAGCGGCTCCTTCCCCAGGGGCTCCGGCTGCGAGCGCAGCTGTGCCATGAACACACGGACAGCGGGGCACGGGCAGGTTAAGAAAACACTGACACATGTCTGAAAATGGTTCGAGGGTCAGCTGCTACCAAGCCGTGAAAAACCGGCTCTGGAGAAGCGGCTGGGTGTGAAGGAAAATCCTGCCGCAGGATGCCAGGGATCCTGTGAGTTACTGGGTCTGCAGTGCATAAACAATATATTTGAACTTAGTTTCTGTGTGTAGGGCTCGGTCCTGGAAGAAGCCGTGACTCCCACTGGCTGCAGTGAACCTCTGTGTGCGCGAGATGTTCACAAATGCTGTGTTTAAAGAATTAGTGAAGCTCTGGATTAACCCTTCCAAGCCCAGAATTCCTGCTGTATCGTCTCTGGCTTGTCTAGACAGGCATTTAAGAGGTGTAATCATTCCCTGCATCACTGCAGGACGGTTTTCCAATGCCCAGCCCTCACTCATGTCTGACACACACACATGCAGGGTTCAGTCCTGGGCTGCATTTAATTTTGGGGGAATATGCAGATTCTGGGCTCGTCCAAGAAGCTGTATCAACACAGAGCAAATTCTTCTATTACACACATAGCAGTTGTGTAATGGAAACAAAAACCTGCAAATTTGATAATTAGATTGGATTAGATCCCTGTGCTCTAATGTTGGCAACATACATTAAAAAAAAAAAGAAGTTACAGTGTTTTGATTTTAACAACAGACAAGTAACCTTTTCATGGAGCTTATGAAATCAGCTGGTGCTGACTGAGGATTGTCTTGGCATAAAAGATGTGTTCAGGGGAAATGGGCACGTGCCCATCCTTTCACACTGTAGCCTAGAGGAGTAGCTTGGTCCATGAGATGACATCACATGTGTGGTACTTTTAGATTTTAGCAAATCACAGTATGTTCTCATACACATTCTTTTATCCTAGAGCTTTTTGAGGAACTGCGTTGTTGTTTTGGTATGAAGAGGAACACTGCAGTTAACAAAGAATATAATATATGAGGGGAGTCAGGGGCTTGTGTAAAACTCCCTTCTTACTTATTTTCCTCTCTAAAATGTCTCTGTAATAAAGAAGCATGTTTTTGCTTCACAATGCAAACTGTATTGACACAGGATGGGGAATGAAGCCACTAAATCAGGTGCATAAACATCCTTCTTGTCTCTAGGCAGGGCAAACTGCACAAATAGTGTTCATGGGCTCTTTAGAATAACAGTTGTTTCCTTCCTCTCTCTGCTTTGGCCACTGGATTAATATCCAAAGCCTCTTCCTTTCTTCTGAAGCTTGAAGCCATTTTAGGTACATTCTTTACATTCTGGGCCAAAGCAGAATTTTTTTTTTCCAAACTCTTCGTTCATGGGTGAGCATCAGTGCTGTTGTTTTTCTTTTAAATGTTTGCTTAAATGTCAATTAATCAAGAACCCTGATATTATCTGTCTGTACTTACCTGAACTGTTCAGCAAGGTGCTGGATTGCTTGTTATGCACAAGCTGTCAGCAAGCTCTTAGCAGCAGAATCTGCACAGCACCATCAGATTGATTTGTGTAGTTTATTTTTTTCCTCAGGTGTCCGTGGTTCCTTCTACCTCAGCTGCATTTGTACAGGATGATTATGAACCCAGAGATGTTGGTGTGACCTTTGGGTACTGTGGCCTTTTCCTGGAACATGGAGGAACACGAATATTTAGGTTTAATATTAATTAGGTTTAATATTCTGGATTATGTGACTATTTTTAGAAACAGAATTGGAGGTAAGATAATAAAGAGCTTCCTTTGTGGAAGTGTTTTACAGATTGTGTTTACAGGGGTGAATGAAAATAAATAAAAGCAGAAGAGATGGGGAAAATTCCTAACGCTCTTTCACCTCACTTGAATCCATACTTGTCAGGGAACGAAAGCCTTGAAAAGGAAACCCTCTGGAAAAGTCTGAGAGCTGCTACTTTAATCTTCACCTTCTGAGAAGTTTCAAATATCAAGAGCAGAGAGAAGAAGAGAGGCTGAGTCTCTAATTAGTGAAGGAGGCAGGTAGGACATTAATTGATTGGCTATGCTACTTCTTTGACCTGAGCCGTGTTTGAGAACAATAGAGGAGCTGTAATGTCCCTCAACAACAGAGCAGAGCTTTTATCTGATAGCAACTGAGAGACCTTTGATCACAAACTGGCCCTGGAGATCTGTAATTTTTATAATAATACATTTTGCTACGTGTGTTTTATTTTTGGTCATTTCTTCTTTGCTTAGGAACCGGTTTCTCAGAGTTTGGACTACTTTCTTGTTTTACACAGTGTTTGACAAGTCCTGAAATCATTGCCTCTCTGCTGATAGTGGTATAGTACAAATCTAGTAACATCTGTGAGAAAGTGGTTTCATGGATGATCAGGTCATTATAAACCTGAAAATTAAGGAAAGAGGGGAAAGAAGGTGCAGAAATATAGAGGAAAGATTTATTTGTATCTGTCCTGGATTGCCATTTAGGCTCAAACTTACTATGTAACAGTGTCTGTCATGACTGCACAGTCCAAATTTCACAGTGAAACATGATACTGTCACTGCCTAGTCCTTTGAAAGTTGCCTTCAATAAAGGTGTTCAATAGTGCAAACAGTTTAATTCATTTTTTAGAATCAAAGTGACATTTATTTTCAAGAGAAACATAAAAATAACGCTCTAGAAGACTGTGTGTGCTGTGATGAGTCTGACATCAAAAACTATTGGCTTACAAAAAGGTGAGGGCTTGGGCATTATTGGATCAGCGTGTTGAGAAATGACAGAAAAGGTCTCTCAGCTCCTGGATTGCCCCAGAGCAGAAGCACTGACAGAGAATTTAATGAAATGTGCAATATAAATACACAAACATCCAGCGTCTCAAACAGGGAAGAGCCCAGAGTTTATATTTGCAAACAAAAGGTCCCTGACACTGAAGGTAATTCCTGGTGCTCCCTTTTCTCCTTTCTTTCAGAGTAGGACTGCTTTCCCTAATCCCAGCAGGCGGCTTGAAAAGGATCAATTAGCCTGAGTTCCAGACACAAATTGGGTTTCTGTTTGTCAGGGTTCCCCGTGTAGCCAAAAAGGAAACAGATGATCCCTCACACCACAGAGGGATGACTGAGACATTCAGGATACAACGTCCTGGGTAGATGAAATGTCCTTTGCAGGTGCCTGTCCAGCCTCAGAATCCAAGGGCAACAGAATGATCTTGGATCTACCTTTGTCTTTGCTAAAGTGTGGATGCAAAGCAACATAACTGCATGGTCAAATTATTCAATAAACACTCTTATCTGGGCAAGTCACTTTGGAAGGGATTTGGCCTGAGACAAAACAAACCATTTTTCATTCGGTAGAAGAATGCCCAGATAGGGAAATGGGCTTGTTTGTTTGTAGTGATTTAACTCAACATCTGTGTCATGAATAACATTTTAGCTGTGGGACAGGCCCATATATCAAAGTAAAGTGTTGCCTTTCCTGAAAGGCAGCACTTCTTGTGTGTGGCCACGTGGCTCAGTGAGCCTGAGAGCTTCAAGCAGTGAGGGATGGGGTTATTTTGACATAATATTAGTGGCTTATTCCTCTCTGCCTTGATCCATGATTGTGCCTGTCATTGTACAAGAATTCCGCTTATGTCAAAGAGCAGTTATGCATTTCATGTACAGAATAAGGAATTCCTCACCTGAATTTTGGTACAGGAAGGTACAAGTGAAAGACAGGCATTTACATTTTCTGGAGAACTCAGTTATCTATTTGTTCATTAAGCATCATTCATTTCACGGCCCTCTATGCTATGGAATAGAAAACAATACATGTGGGCAGGAAGAATACCCCAGTCCTGCTCTGGGAAAAAACTTTATCAGCCAAAATAAGTATCTGACTGTTTTGCAAGATACTGTCTCACATGGTGTAATATCAGGCACCTGGTGTAGTCTCATCATCACTGGTCTCAGCTTTTGCCCATGACTAACAAAAATTAGGCAACATATTAAAAGAAAAAAAAGGAAAGAACTGTGGGCCAGATGGTTTTTGAGAACTGACTGAAGTGGGAGGTGAAGGAAGCATTTGACAATGCTTGAGGAAAAGATTAATCATCTCTTCATGTTCTACGTCCAAACCAGTTGTGTCTGTGATATCTGTGATGCCTGATTTTGATTAGGACAACAGGCATTCCCTGCCTGGGACGCTGGACTGTCCCTCTGAGGGAGAGCTGGGATTGGGCAGACACAAACAGCCTGCATAACTCCGGTATGCACAGAAATCCTCATAAATTGACACTCTGTTAGCCTTTTTGTTCAGGTAACATACCTCAAACATGTTGAATTTTGCATTTTAATGACAGTGCCAAGTGTGGCACACCAAACTATTCCAGCATTTTTTGATTTTGCAATCAAATTCCAAAAAAAAAAATTATCAAAGACCTACTATCCAATAACTATTTGCATTGTTGGAACCTGGTATAAGTTGGTACCTCCATGGTAAGCATATTTTTGTTAAATACTCTCCTTTTGTGCTGGTTTTTCTATGGACCTGACAGCTGGTTCTTCTTGTGCATAAAGGATATTAAGCAAAATGAACACAACTCACATATAAGCAGGTGGATGGAAGTGGTTCCTGATACACACACAAACACATTCTATTTGTCTATGTATATACATATATAAGTTGTAGAGAAGTACATTGTGAATTTGTATGCCCCTGATTTACCTTTTCTTGTAATATTCCCTATTTGATATATTAAAATCTGTCGTGATATTTAGACTGTTAACCCCATTACAAAAGCAAACATTTTTTTATTTTTTTTTCATTACTATCAGCCCTCGTTTCACATCCTGTTTTGTGAAAAGAGAGGCCAGTTTCAACAGGTTTAGATTTCACTTTTGGGAGAGGGAAGAATTAGCAGTTCAGAGACGGCTCAGATAAGCCTGACCTTAACTGACACAGTGCTCTGTTGGTTTCTGCTCAGTGAAGGAGAAAAAAAGGGAGAAGCAATATTGCCAAGAACTTCCAAATCATGAAGATCTCAGTTTAGATTTTCTACAGATGACTTAAAACAGAAGACACACATCTACAGTTAAGTATATTTTGTCTCAGTGACCTCCCATCAGACGTGAAAGGCAAGGAGATCAGTTCTACTCCCAGGACACCTCCAGGTAATGTCCCCAGGGCTGCCACCAGCACAGTCCCTGCTGAGGGGGAGATTCCTCTGCTCAGGTTCTGCTTCTGACCCCTCCAATTCCTGCTGCTTCCCTGGCCCCCTGACTCTCACACTGGATGGCTCAGCCTTTGCTTAAAAGGAACTTAAGTTTGCTTGCTCCACCTTCCTGGATTAAGGGGGGTTTGCAATTCCTGAGCACTTTTTTCCTTCCCTTTTCTGCTGTATTTCTTTGCTGCTGCTCAAAAACTGTGACAGAAACTTCAGAATGATCCCTATGAGCTTCTCACAGGTGAGTTTTTCCATGGCATATTGGTTGCCTTTGTTCATCTGGGCTGCCACTCTGCCTCCAACACTGGGAAGAAGGTGAGAGGAATCTGACAGTTTATGATTTCAGAAAAAGTCCCCCCAGAGAAAACTGTCTTTTCTAATATCTGATAAATAAAAATTCATGTCTGAGGGTTTATTTCCATTCTAATTCATCTCCTGAGGTTAAAAGTGTTTTATTTCTCAGTAAGGCAGTTCTCAATGTCACTGTTGATGTATTTGGGTCTCTGTGTGGAGCTGTGCTCTGGGTCCTGATCGTGTCCTGCAAGGAGCAGATGAACACCCCGGGCAGCAGGGGCAGCACACGCTCCCTCAGCAGCCCAGCCAGCATTCCTCAACTCTGACCCCAGGACCACCTCTGGAGATAAGAATTCCTTCTTGTCACAGCCCTGGCTTCCTCTGCCAAGGCTGTCAGCAAAAAGGACACTCGGAGCCAACGTTAGGGTCGGGCAGGAGGGGCTCGTTCACCACAAACCCTTCCGTGGTGGCTGAAGCGACTTCAAATCCACCACCAGAAAATTTAGACTGTAACACATCCACATTCCCACTTCACCCAGAGCCTGAACCCTGAAGATCTGGCAAATGACCAATTCTGTACCTCATTAGTTTGTTCCAGGCCTGGCACTTCTGTAACTCTGAGCTCGCTCTGAAGTGTGTCGGGAATCTCATGCACACTGGCTGTGCTTTGCAAACCAGGACGTGTCATTATCTGGTCAAGGAACCTTAGAACTGTTGGATTTTCTAAAAATCAAGCATTTGAATTACTCCCTCTACTCTTACCTCCTCTTGACGTAACTAGTCATGTTATAATTTAAAATATTCTTGATGTGACTAATTATTTGCCTAAATCACAACTACTCCTTTTCCTTTGCAGACATTTGATATGGTAATTGCTGGTTTTCAGTTCTCAGAAGTCACTGCCACATAACCAGAGGGTGGCTCAGAGACCAGTTGTCTTAAAAGCTTTGGTTCTGCAGACTTGCTCATCTGCTGTTCAGCAACAACACAAAATACCAACACAGGTTCTTATAGTGCCAAATCATCCTGACTCTGCAGACAGCTCTTTCCATAACGTGCATGAGAAGATTAAAAATTAGTCAATTTTTCAACTAATCATGGTTTTCCAGTCATATCATTTTCCTAGGATGACCTTGAAACATTTTGTAGTTTTATTTCATGTACCTCAGTGCATATAAAACTGTGCTCGTGCATCGTTGGACATTCCTCAGCTGTGGAGGTTGATGTTTTGGCAGAGCTGGGTGTTGATGTCTTTATGGATGGAAAATGTTGGGTTTATATTGTATCAGTAACTCTACAGGACATGATCCTGGGATTTAGGGATCTAACCTCCTGGAAAACGATGAGTGAGACTCCAGGCTGTTCTTGCTGAGCTTTGAGAGAAAGGCTGACACTGGGGGCATAGGCAAGTGCTCTTTAGTTGTTTGTTTGACACTGAAAGCCTGAAGCACAAGAAACCCACAATTTTTAGCCTGGCTCCAGCAGATGTATTTATTAAATATACAGATTCCCTTTACATTTTAAGTAAGACTTAAATAAGCCTGAAATTCGAAGTGTATTTCTCTTGGAATAGGATGCTATGGAATATTTATTTTTCCTGCTGTGTGATATTTATTGTCTTTCAGCCTTCATCTACAGTCCTGCAGCACTGAGAAAAGAAATCCTGCTCATGTTAAACTCTGACAATTCCACTTTTGCTGTGGGAACACCATGGGCTGTTTTCTGTTTCCTCAGAAGCTTGTTGGAATTTACCCTGGAATTCATGTGAGAGCTTCAGGTTTGTACTTCCCTGGATGTGACCTGTTTGTCTGTTTTACAGCAAACATTCATCCTGGTTTGCTTTTGGCAATGATCTCAGTGATCTTTGCCTTCCTCCTCTCCTGCACGAATCAGTGTTTCACTGTACAGTGAGTGGAGATCAGCTGATCAAAACAGCATCCACCTTTCTGTCCTCTGTGGGTTAAAATCCTGTGGGATGTGTTTCCAGGGTACTGAGCAGGTCTGCAGCCTCCCTGTGCTGTGGGACAGCTCACTTCCCAAATCCTGGGCTCAGGCAGCTTTGCTGGATTCTTCTTAATGCCCCATGACACTTTGCACTAAATCCCAAATTTCCCCCACTGTGGGCATTACAAATGATGTCTTAATCTACCAGCACTGAAAAAAACTTCTTTCTATATCTTTGTTTTTAACACATTTTTTTTAATTTATAATAGAAAAATACCAAAGCAAGTTCCACAAGCTTTCCATTGCAATTTTTAAAAACAAAGTGAGCTGTCCTGAGTCCGTCTGCTGCAGGCACTGTCAAGACAATTCCATCTTGAATACTTTCTGTTTTAAAAATATTCTGCCCAGAATATATGTTTTAAAATTTTGATTGGTCTTTTTAAAGTGATGGGCATCTGTTGTTGAACATGCTGAGATGAACAGGGAACAGTTTTTCCTACTAATTACAGACTTAGCACTTATGTCACATTCCAGATTTATTCCCTAACTTGGGAGGTAGGTAAATAAAGAGATAGAGTCTCCTTTAACTGCAAAGGGAAGGGCAGAGGTGGAATAACAAGGTAGATGCAGGTTTTGAAGTCAGCATTTCACAGTTTGAAGTTCTCTGCTCAGCCAGCTACATACCATTACCCTGGGAGATACTGGTTCATTCAGCCCTCCAGAAATCTAATCATTTTAGGATTTCCAGTGTCTAAGTTCACAATAACATTCATTACCATGCAGAAGTCTGGCTATTTCAAGACAATTAAGAGATATGGAGAGAATTGGTGGAAGAGTGAATCAGGGGTCACAGTCCAGTTCAGAGCACCAGCCAACCAATGCTCAACCTGACAACTGAAAACAAAATACAGAGCTTGAGAGGAGCCAAAAAATATCTTCATAAATAATTAGGGCTTGCAGGTCTCAGGGAGCCGGGTTCTCTTGGCCACAGTGAGAGGCAGCACTTTCTGAACAAACAAGATTGAATTTCTGTGGCTCGTGGAGCTGCCTGAGCCCGTTCCCCACACCCTGTGCCAGAGCAATCTCCTCCGTGTGCTGGAGCGGGCAGAAATGCGCTGCATTCCCGAGATGTGCAGCAGATGAGATGGTTCTGTGCTCCAAACACACCCCTGGCAGTGGTGGGGACGCTGCTGGGGACATCTGCTTTCACCTGAGCTCCTGAACCCGCTCCTGTGTGTCCGTGGGGTTTGTGTAGGCTCAGCAGTGGTAAAAAACAAACAAACCAACAAATAACCAGGCCTGCAGGCAACAGCTCTGGGCAGGTGTGGTGTGCAGGTGTCTGCAGTGTGTGCACCCTGGATGAGAGAGGGGATAAATACATTTATACAGGAGGCCTGGGAAACACCTCCAGCAGCAGCAGCAGCCAGTTCATGCTCACAGAAGAGCTCTGCCACAGCAAGGTGTTAGCTGGTGGCATCTGTAAAATGGAACCTGAGGAGCAGGTAGCAGATAGTGTTGCCTCTCATCTCGTTTGAGGGAATGGTAGGGAGCCCAGGCTCTGGATTATTTTCCCTCCCAAGCCGCTGCAGTGCAGGCAGTGCAGAGGATGAGCAGACAGAGAGGCCCCAGAGCGAGGGGCATGAGGTGAACAGTGTTTACTCTCACCTGTATTTGCTGCCTCAGGCAAATGCCCCTCTCATTCCTCTAATGGCCTTAAAATGAAGGGTCTCTCTCCTCCTGCACCCTGGCCCTCCATACAGCTCCTCCTGTCTATCAGCTGCCAGGGGAAGAAAAAAGCACCTAAGTGTAAAATTAATGCTTTCTCCTTTTTTTCCCAGCACTGTACACCATCCTTTTCTTGCCTTTGGCTTCAAGGGGACTGTGCCAGCGCTGACTGCCATCATCTCTTTACCTTCTGTGCTCTCACATTAAAAGGTTTGTTGCTTTAAGAGAGTGTGTGCCATCACTGGGGGGGAATGTACAACACCTGCTGTCAACGAGCTTAATTAGGGCAGAAGCCTGATTGGGTTTGTGGGGAGAGGGGTGTATATAGACTCCTGCTGGCCCCTGGGAGGGGGTTTGGCAGTCTGGTTTTGCTGGACAGAGCTCCTGAGCATGACCTGATGTGTGTGAGTAAAACCCTCAGCTGAGGAAAGTGCAGTTGGTGATGGGCTTGTGCTGTTACTGATGTCAGTCAGCTCTGATGCACTGGGTAGAGTTGCTGCTTAAATGCTTGGAGATATTGGAGTCTCCTGCAACTGCAGAGGTAAGGGCAGAGAGGAGAGCTGGTGGGTCTGGGAGAAGCAGCTTGAATTGGGAAAGGAGGCTCTCTGGATCTGGGATAGCTTGGAATTCCTAGGGAGAAGCTTTGCCAGCTGAACTAGAGAGTCTTAGTTCCTGCTGGTATGGCTCGGCCTTCCTAGGAAGACACTTCAATGTGTGTTTGATTAAGAAGAAAATGGGCAGAACAAGTGGAAAATAACAGTATATCTCAAAGAAAATTCCAGTGGGCAGGAGCTGTTAGTTGGCTTCAGATGGAAAGGCTGGGCTGTTCTGAGGGATGTGCTTTCTGGAGGTGAGTGAGAGGGGTACAAGAGCACAGCACTTCAGAGTAATAAAGAGAAATTAAAGGGCAGCACAGCTGCTACAAAATTGAAGTTGATGTATCTGCCACTATAAATGCAGCCTGTTTGCCAGAACTCTGCAGTTGGATTAAACTCAAAGCATATGGTCTCTGACTTCAGAATTATCCCACACTGGGCTGTGCCCATCACTTCTGTTAAAGCTGACGCTCTGTAAACGTTGCCCATCTCGGGTCCAGCAATCCTTGCACCACTTCCAGTTCACTCATTGAGCTTCCTTTTCTCCTTTATCCACTTCTTTCTCTGTGAAGGTGCTGCCTGATTTCTTTTGCCTTCTGGTGTCTTCATTTCTAATGTCTTCTCCTTAATTTTTGCCCTTCTTTTACAGCCCAGACATGACTCTGTCACGTGTTCAATGAATTTCCACATAAAGTACCTGTGTGTTCTCACTTTCATGTCCTTCACGTTTTGGAGAGGCTCCTTAGAAGCACCCTAAAATAAACTGGACTTTGTTTTCACGTGCACAAAAATCTACAATATAGGTTGCCAATCTACAACAGGCTTCTGGTTTCCTGAGATTTATGTCAATAGTCATCAGTACTTGTCTGGTGTTTCCTTGCTACTCCAGTCTTGTTTAGATTGTAAATAACTGGGATAAGGGTCTTGTCTCTTTATTACAATTCTTGAAAAACTAAGACAGTTAAATCTTGGCTTATACTTAAGGCTCCCAGTGAATACTAAGATGCTGATAAAATAATCCAAAAGAGTGAAATCCACCTTCCTGCTTAGGGTGTTTTCTACAGTCAGTAGAAAAAGACAAATATTTTCCAGTGAAACATATAAAGATACTTCAAGTTTGTAACTGGCCTGGAATCCATGGTGGCTGGGAGTCAAAATGCTGTCCTGTTTGGCTGTGTGTGGTCTGCTGGTTACCTGCCTGATGAAGTAAATAGGCAGGGCAACCTCTTTGTCATCCACGAAACCTCCCTGGGAAAGGGGGTTGGAAACTTTTAGGTGAAGATTTTTGTTTCACTGTGGTTTTGCTTTTTTTGTGGAGATATAAGGGTGTTATGGGAGGAGATAGGTTTCAATAAATTTACAGGCTTTAAAAAAGATATGAAAAGTCCAGAACGATTCCTGTTGTTTTCAGATTTTTCTCCTGCAAGTGATGGTAGCTGCACCAAGGCAATTACAGAAAATGCTGTTTACATTGCAGTGGTTTTGCCATTTTTGTTGGAGTCAATTTTGATCTATGAAAATTTGAGACTTTGATTTTTTTTGTTTTGATTTTTTGATAAGAAAAGGTTTAATGCTGCTACTTAGTAGAGCTGTAGATAACGAATTCTACTAGACAGAACTGTGAAAACTAGATCTGCTGCAGTTACAGGAATATATTTATTCCAATACAGAGCTGATTCCTGCCATTGGCAAACTGCCAGGGACACTGATTTTTCATCTCTGTTTTTGCCTTGCTTTAATATTCTCAGACCAATTTGTCTCATCTGCACCTCTTTTCCAAACCTGCTGTCCCCAGCAGATGTTTATCCTTGAGGCTTTGGGTAAGGCTGTGCTCACAGGGTGCTGACCTGGAGGGTGCTGCTCCAGTGCAGGAGGAGAATTATCTCCTATCACCATCCCAAAGGAATGGCAGGAAATTGCAGCATAACTGGGAGCTGTTTCCATGTCCTACCCGTGGGATAAAGGCTGCTGGGACAGGGAATGTGTGGCTTCAGCTGCAGGTGGAGGTTTGGCATTTGTGTGGCCCTCCAACACTTCTGATCCAGGCCAGGCTTGGGGAAAGAGGTGCATAATTAAGAATTAATTGTTACTAAATTTAGATTGAGGGGGGGGAAAATACAAATAAAAATTAGTAGTAAAGGCTTAGCAAGTACAAGCAGGTTTTTTAGGATACTGGCTGAGTTCCCTGGGAACTGACTGCTGGGTCAGGTGTGAGTCACTGGGATCTGCCCACACGAGGTGGGCAGAAAAATCTGGGAGAATCAGCCATGAACATGGCCCAGAAAGGTAATGGCAAAAGGACTCCACAAGATGCAGAGAAGAAAACCAACTGGATGTGGTGCAGGATTCATCTATTTGCTGTTTTCTCATTGTGCTCTAGAAACTTGAGTTGAAAAACTGGATTGCACCAAAGAAATGTCTGGTTTTTATTATCAGTCCTGTCTCCAAGTGGAAACAAGTCAGATCAATGTCAAGTTTTTTTATTCTTTTGTCATCGTGTTTTACTGCATCTCTTGGTGTCTCTCATAACCGTTTTCTTTTTATTCATTATAAATGATTAATTCAGGAGGCAGCCAGCCTCCCCTGAGTATTGTGGGGTTCTAAATTGCTTATTTGGCCAAAAAGTATTTGTTACTGGATCAGAAAATCTTGACTGACTACTAAGGGGGGAATTCTTCCTAATAAATATTTCTTCTGGGCAGAGCATGCCTCTACACTTGATGAAAAGAAAAATTCTGAGAAGTATTCAAGCGGTGTTTGTACTTACTGCAGAAGTTGGAATTGCGAGAGGCACTTTGCTATTTCTGCCTTGTGAACAGATTGTGAAGGACAGGAACAAATTTTAACCTAAAGAATAAGATTTTTGATAGGGAAGGAAACTTCGTAATGCGTGACATAAAAATTCCGAGCTATAATTCACACCTTAATGCAGATACAATATTAATGTTGGACTGATCTATCTGTGCCTTTTATTTTCCTGGACTATCACTTCTGAAACTGCCCAGAAAAAGGGGAAGACTGTCTGATTTTTGTCAATATAATTACATGGCTCTCAAGGGATTTGCTCCTGTTTTCACCAGTCAGGAGAGAATTAGTAAACTCATAATGCACAACAAATAAAATTGCACTTCCCACCTTCAGATCTCTCAGTCAGACAGATGAAGGAAGATAAAGGGGGGAAAAAACCCCACTCAAACAAAGGGGTGAAAGTCACATTTGGCCTTTTTGGAGAAAAGGAGAGCGGGGCTGCAATGAGAGTTGTTTCAGAGGGGAGGGGTGGCAGGAGGTGGGACGTTCCCTCTGCCGGATTTTGATGTAAAGCCGAGCACAATGGGGAGGCACCTGCGGAGAGCTGAAAGCTCTGCTGGAGATGGCCGTGCTGATTGTCTCCCCGAGGCTGGGGGATTACGTGTAACCCGAGCGCTGCGGTTCCCGTGGCAGCCCCACAACTACTGGGGGAAAAGTTCTTGTTTTCTGCAGTCGATGCCATGAAATGGGGCTTTGGGCAGTCTGTCTTTGAGCTCACCTTGCCGCGATGAGCTTTTCAGAGAGGGGGTTTCAATCTGTGAGTAAAGCCACTGGAAGTGTGAGGATGTTGTTTGAACTTCAGAAGTAACTGTAATTCTGCTAAATATTGTATTATATATAGAAATTACTAAAATCTCTGTGTATGTGTTGGTTTGGGATTTTTTCCTCCTCTGTATTTTAAAAACACCTTTCATTGTATAAACACAGTTAATCTCAATGGATCCTCTGATGCCTGGAGTTGCTGAGCTAACAGGACAAGTAACAGTTCATTTTATGTCCCTTTGAGACTCCAGCCACTTCACTGAGCCACCCTGGGATCGCTGGATTTGACTGTGGTGTGAATTTGTGCTGCTTTTTTATTTCTCTTGTCCCAAGAAAGCAGATTGACTTTGATGGTATCAGCCTCTTATCAGTCATCTCAGGGCAGGTGATAGAAAGCATCCCCAAAGGATTTGTAGCTGGATGACATGCAGAAGGAGGAGCTGCAAATCACCAAATGAGACTCTTAGAACTTTGTTCTCCTTCATTTATTCATAACCCAAAGTAACTGTGGAAGTTTCTCAAGGTTTACATTAAAATGTGGTCACAGATGACAATTTGGTGCAAACCTGGGGTTCTAAATTTACTGTTGCATGGGCTCTTTAAGAATAAATAACTCAAAAAAGAACTTCTTTTAATGCTTCTCACATGAGCAGTGCAACGTGTTCCCGGAGAACACTGGATATTAGATATTATTTTAGAAGCAAATCAAAACATCTGCACTCATGATCTGCTGCACTTTTTCATAATGTTATCAATCTATATAAAAAAGTCATTGTGGAAGCACTGAGGAAAATAACTAAAGAAGATTTTTTCCTTCAGAGGTCTGTCATTTAAAACATATTGCACACATGCACACTATGTAAATATTTCTTAGAACTATGGCAATTTTGCTGATGTTTAAGACGTAACATTGGATTAAAATGTTAGAAAATTGCATTCAGCTCTCTTGTCTCTCCTTTGATAACACTGTGTTGTTTTCTGGAAGATGCTTTATTTTTTGTACCATACAAAAAGTGTTTCAAATTTAGGACTAAGGCTAGTTCAGATCCTGTCAAAAAAAGAAAGTATATCTGAATTGCAGTGGTATTTCTATTCATTTGCTTAGTTACAGGAGCCACAAAAGATGAACATAAAGTATTCTTGTAAGTCAAAGAAATAGCACTGAGTTGCATATATAGCTCTTAACTTACACTCTCAGCTTGAACACTCTAAAATTTATCTTTTTTTTAAAATCTTTTTTCTTTCCCTGAAGGGAAATGATCCCAGGCTTTACATCATTAGCTAACACTGAATTATCTTATTTAGGTTCAAACCTAGTAAGGAAGACATTTTCTGCCCTGGGAAACTCGATGTTGACTCGATGGAAAGATGGAAAACACCTGAGATTACTGAGCCCTGAACGAAAACTCCTGTGCACTCCAGCTGAGGGTTCTGCCAAGGTAAGGGGCAAAACCTTCCTCAGAGCTCAAAAGGGAAGAGCTTATCTTAAATATTTCAGTGAAAGAACCACCATTTCTGCAACTAAGATTTCTGTAGCTTGTTTTCACTCCCTGGAGGAGTGGAATGCGTTGCTTGGACTTGTCACCCGGTGAGCTTTAAAACAGCTTCCTTGAAGATGAGAAATGTGCTTGTTTGACTGACCTCTCGCTGTTCATGTTCAGTATTTGCCTGCAGCTCGCTAAACAAACAGGCACACTGTCATCAAATGGAGTATTCTTCAGTGGAACAGGGATAAATCAAAAGGGGAAAAACTCAGTCCAGGATGGCAATTGCAGTAACTTGTATTATTTTAGCTCGGCGTGGTTGTAAATATAAATCTACTAGAAAGAATCAGGAAAAAAAAAAAAGGTGCATTTAAACACAACGTTTTTAAAAGGCATAGTCACTTGTGTTAAAAGCTCATCTATAGGCCTGGAAATACTTAGAACGTTCATTTTTTTTTGAACGATTGACTAACTAAAAAAAAAAAAAAAAATTAAAAAACCGAGAGTGACGAAAGGAAATCTCGTTGAAGAAATGCAAAAAGTAACATTTTTGGCAGCCCGCTTCAGGTGATGTCATTGTGCAGAACGTGCTAAAGGCTGTTACTTCACAGCAGGAGCTGATTCCTCGAGGCAGGCAGGGTCTCGGGGCACACTCGGCGTCGCTCTCAGCTCCAGCCAGCAGAGCCCTGCGCTTCTTACCCCTCGTTAGCTGCTGATAAACTGTGCCCACTCCTCCCCGGGGCACAGATGCACCAACACCCACCTCGGAACCTTTCCCACGCTATTTACTGCTCGTGGGCTGAGGGTCTGCCCGGCGCTCCTGGGGGCTCTGGGGGACGAGCCCACGGACAATTCCCCGTGGGCTGACGGTTCCTAGTTGTTTCTCCACGCGTGCTGCCCTGTCTGTAGGACATCAGAGCGTTTCAGTTCAGTGTACATTTGGTTTTTTTCCCGAGTCTCAGCTCTGGACCACACCTGCTGAGGTGCAGGAAAGCAACGAGCTTGGCTGTATTTAGAATTATTACGTGGTAAAGTGATTGGGTTCTGTGTGAATTATCCAAGAGGGAGCGTGAATCCACTTGTCTCTGGGGGTTTAAGGGTTGTTCTGTTAAGGGCCAGTAAATGCAGGTAACTTGTGTGCTAACATAGGGAATATTTGTATTTGTTCCCCTTTGTGTCTGCTGTTATGATGTCATCTTCCTTATCCCACTAATTTGGGCCTTTGAGCCTGGTCATGTAAAATAGGCACTTAAAAGGGTAGAGAATGCAGCTTGGGGCCTGATTCTGGAGAAATTTTGTGGCCTGCTCATGGAATAACCTGTCAGTTGGGCTAAGTTAGACTGGCCTTGTGATTATTGCATCTGAAAGGAAAACTGCTGCATGCATTTCCCTCATATACTTTTCTTCTGAGTTTCACTTCTAGTGACAAATACCGTGGTAATAATCTTTGTAAAAAAATTTTTGTTTCCAGGTGTATGTTAAAACAATGTTAATCAAGATTCCAGTATTTTCTAATCAGGTTCATTTCTCATTCTTGTCTGTGTAGCATGAAAATATTGATTTGGTTCTTAGTGATTCAGGGATTTCTGCACCTACTGAGGGAAATCTGTTTGATTATTGTCAGGAAAGGAAATCCAGTAAAGCTTCTGAGGTTTTATGAGGTTTTATTGGTGTTAACAAAACGAATATGTTGGATCTAATCTCAGTGGACACTTCTTACTTTAAAAATCACATTGTGTGTTCTCAAGAAAAGTTGGTCCTATTACCAAAACCAATATTGTGGAAGGTTTATATCTGTAGGCAGATCATACTTGGGCTCTGGAATCACAAAAAAACAGCAGCTTCATTGTAGGCACACCTGCATAGTGGTGAGAGGTAGATGGGGACATCATTTTGTCAGGGGGAAAGACTTCAGGCAGGTTATAGCAGAGGAGGCCTGGGCAGGGTTTGAACAATCAGGGTAAGACAAAAATGTGAGCAGTTATTCTTCACGTTTTCCCAGATGAGTCCTGGATAAAGACTGGTTCTCAGAAAACTTTAAACCACATTGAAACATGTCTCTACATGTAAAAATGGTTTGGCAGCAGCGACAGTTTCAGGCTTCATAAAACGCAATCCAAAATTTTATTTGATTCTGTTTCAGAGTAGTTGTTGATTCTCCTCACTGGTACCACCAAACCATTTAGCATTTAATTTACTTGTTGTGTGCTGAAGGTCTAATTTTATAAAAGAAAAGTCACCACCAGCAGGGGCCATTTCCACTGTCAGTGTAGGACTCCTTGGTCATCACAACCCAAGCAGAAGTTTGAAGCTTTGTGCCTGGTATTGTCCAAATACCTACAGTTTCCAATGCCATTAATTTTACCAAGTCTTCATCAACAAAACGTGAAAGCTTTTTAATGTTATGCCTACCAGAGCTTTCTAATGAAAACTAAATCCGTGCATATTTGCAATATAACAGGTTTAGGACTTAACTGCAAAACATAAGCAGTCAGTAGAATGGACATTCCTGTAATTATTTAATATTTTTCTTCTCATGTGTGTATGGTCCTGGACAGGGATGTTTAAATGTGTTCTTGAAATGCACTCTGCCTTCTGCAAAAGGTCTCAGGAGCAGCTGCTTCTCTGTCAGGCTGGGGTGTAGGAGGATCCTTGCCTTCTCCCTGAGCCAGGATTATTTTAGGCTCTATTGTAAATCAGGATGCCTGCCGAGTGCGCTCTGAAATAGTGATTTTTTGGTTATCACTGCACAGAACTAGGATTTTTTTTTTTATTTGCTTTAAAGCTTTTGGAATTGTATTGATTTCTTTGTATGTGAGCTGTAGTTAGAGGAGAGATTAGCACTGGTTTGCTGGAGATACCCAGGAATGGCTGGCAAATGGAACAGATCCAGACTCAGGGGTGTCCTACAACAACAACCTCCTGGATCTGAAAGCTGGAAGTGAGGAAGGAATCACACCTTCATCTAGGGAAAAACTGTTTTATCAGGTTGTGTAACCTGTGTCCTCCCTTCCCACTGGAGGACTAACATCGTTCCCCAGCATTCAGACTTTCTGGGAGTCTTGTTTTAATTTTACAATGTAAGGTATTTCAAGGGCAGAGACCGTGTCTTATTTATTGCTTTTATGAGTCATTTGGTTCGTTTTTGGATGCCTGACAGATTAGAATGTATTTGATTGCATCTTGTGGTATATACCAGGTCTGGAGCAAAACAGACTTTCAACTCCCTAACAAAGTCTGAAGTTTGATTTACTGTTTATTCATTCAACAGCAGATGCAGGCCAGAATTCAGATCATTGAAATTCTATGACCTGACTCAGCCAAAGGCAATATAAAATCAAGTATCATCAGTGTACATCTAATAGTTCACACTGTAATGCTGTCTAGATTTTCATCATTAATGTTCCTGGACTAACCATGGAGGGAAGAAAAAACTTGGATGGATTTCAGCTGGAAAATATGCACAGTATCTAGGAGTTCTGTAGAATAACATGTTAATGGTTATCACTTTGCAGCAGTCCTTGTACACTCCATATTTCCCAATTGTTGAGCCCTACTATAATTAATCTCAATAAACCAAAACCTTTTTCCCCTTTTTCTCCCACCCCATGCAATTTGTTCTTGTGTGGGCTTTGGAAAGCTGTAGTTGTGGAAACATCAACAAATTAATTCCTAAGAGAATAATTGAGCTGACAGCTGAAGAGATGCTCACTTTTTCAAGCACATAAAAACCCTCTGATTTTGTTAGAATTTTGTTCTCTGCTCTTGGCTTTTCCACTGATTGGAGCCGAGTCTGGTGCAGAGGGTTGTGCACTGCTGGGATGCTGTTGGCCAGGTCTGGGGACGTGATGTTCAGGGAGGAGTCCCCTGTTCTTGTTCCTCCTGAGGGACGTGGCAGTGAAGTTCAGCGAAGATGCAGCTCCTGAATGTGTGTTCAGCCAAGTAACTGTGGCTGAGCTCACACAGGAACCCAGCAGTGCTTGTGGCTGCAGTGTCAGGAAGCCCAGGGGAGCAAGGCCTGTGGTTAAACCCCTGGGTCAGACACAGGAGTTTGTCTTTCTGCTGCAGTGGATCTGCCACAGCTCCTTCGATCCCAGGGGCTGCTTGGGGATGGGAGTTTCCAGCCCTTGGTTTCAAACACCGAGACAGTCCCTCTGCCTGACTTGGCTCCTGTGGGCTGATGCTGAAGTGCCAAAAGTGTTCAGGTGGGTGCTGACCAGCCTTTCTGTTGCCTCCAGGAGAGAACAGGACTCAAGGATGGAGCTTTGTTCTCACAGATGAGGGGTAGAATCGATCTCCAGTAGCTGACAAGCCTAGTGCCAGCTGGCAGAGCCACAGCAGGTGAACATATGCACGCCCCAGGGCTGCCAGGGGGGCAGGGAAGTGCCAGGGAATGGCTTTGAGCAGGAGATCTCCCCCAGGAATCCAAATGGGAGAATCAGAGCATTAGAAGCCTAACTTCAAACACAGGCTGGCAAAGCAAATGTGTGTGGAGTGCAAACATGGGCAGCAGGAGGTCACTGTTTGAACACAAAAGGGAGGAAAAAGAGGATGAGGGTGGTGGCAGAAGGGAGAGCACAAGTGTACTGATAGATGGAAAGGGAATGCTGAGAAGGAAGGAATGCCTGGAGATAAATGCCACCAGAAAGAGGCTAGAGCTGGTGAACAGGCTGCTGCTCTCTTGATTCCTCTGGGTTTAGGAATACACAACTTGAGGATCTTTGCTAATGGGGAGGATGTGCAGTAAAACCCACCATCTTCTGTCTTGATTAATTCAAATGTCTAAGATCCCAAAGTCTGCCAACTTATTTAGGTTTCAAAGAAGAAATGATAATCAGGAGATGCTCGAGGAGCTCAGAAATTCCTGAAAGGTATTATTACTAAGCTTGGAGGTTTCATTAGAAGGAGTAGAATGGGTGAAGTTGTCCCAGAAAGAACCAAAGAGTGCATGTTACAGTGTGTGGATGGATGGCAAAACTCAGCTGGGGACAGAGCTGTGTCAGGAAAGGAGTTCACTGGAACACAGGGGAGCTCTGAGATTTCTCAGGGAGATGAGCTGTGTCAAAGGGTTAAGAAAGAGAAGGACTTGAATGTGATGGAACATCAGTTGAGCTTTCTTGGTAAGGAAAGGATTTCCAAAGGGGAGAGGTCAAATTCCTCCAGTCCAAATACAAAACTGACTGTATTTGATTCAAATTTGTAACCTGTCTCAGTTGAATGGCTGGACAGAGTCACACACAAGGCCAGGAATGCTGCAGAATTTACTCAGCAAAGGCTTGTGCCACTCGCTGCAGGTACTGGGTGTGGAATTTGGTGAAGTCATCAATTCCAACACATCTGAGCACCAGCAAGAGAAGTGGGAGGTTCTGGCCAGGTCTAATTCAGTGTGGCTGAGATTGGAAGGGACCACAGTGGGTCACCTGGTCCAACCTCCCTGCTCAAGCAGGGCCATCCCAGAGCACATCCAGCATCTTGCAGCCTGAGAACTTCCCATCCTGTCACCTTCCTGCCCAAGGAACAGATGTCTGGATGCTGGGGCTTGGTTGTATTTTGACTTCCAGAGCAAGATCACAAAAGGGAGACCAAAAGTACCCCCCAAAAAATGATGGAATTTGCTGCTGAATCGTAATCATTCCTTGGAGAAGTTAAAAGAAATTGTCATTAATGAGGAAAATGGAAGCTGGAAACTAT